CAATTTGGAAAATTTTGCAAGGGAGAGTGGGATCACGTGGGTCTGACCCCACCGAATTGGTCTCCAAACTAAATACGCACAAGTCCAAATTGTAGATGCAAAACGAAAAAGTCCCCACAAAAAATCGATGGGGAAGTAAAGAGACCATGGTGTGGTTTTACCAACCTAATGACAATATTATCATGAGTGCTATTACAGGGACCCAAAATATGGGACCAAGGGAGGGGACATGCGAGGTGTCCCCTTCATATTACATAATGAGTTGGCCATGCTAAATTGTAGATGGAAAAACGAAAAAGTCCCCACATAAAATCGATGGGGAAGTAAAGAGACCATGGTGTGGTTTTACCAACGTAATGACAATATTATCATTAATCATTAAATATTAATGAAATCAGACGCTATGTTAACGTAGTTATCAAATTGAAAATATTTTTACACAATTCCAAAGTAAACATTATTGCAACCAGAATGCTACATCAGTATAATAACTAATTTTGAGAATATATATATCAGAGACGCGTGTTGGGTTCCACCCTTTCATTATGATTTTCTATCGTGAAGACTCCATAGGTTTTTATTTTTATTTTATATATAATGGATCCTCATTAGCTATCATTCCTTTCTTGTCCCACACGCTCGCACCTCTTTCCTTTTCTTTAGACCTTTCTCCACTTTCTTCCCTCAAGTCCAAGGACACATCCACGTGAACCCTCCCCTCTCTATCGTCACCCATCAACGACAAGCTCTTCCCAGTTCCCACTACAACTACTAGGAGAGGAGCAAGCAACAAACATTATGCACATATCTTTTATGCTCATGTCTATATATAATAACAAAAAGGTCACGCTCTCTCGTGTCCACTGCATTAATCTTGGCATGCAATACAAACTCTCTACCGAACATGTTAGTTTATACGTCACATACATGAGATTATATGAAGATACCACGCCAGTCATAACATATGAAATCCATTCGTAAAAATATAGATGGGGGCAAGCGATCAACCAACAAAATTAATAAAGAACTTCCCTCAACAATAACAAAAAAAAAATAAAAATAGTAGTAATAAATAAATAAATAAATAAGAAAAATCATGTGTATTTCATGTTAACATAATTCACAAGGGGAGAGAAAGCTAATTGAAATATGTTTAATTTCCTCTGTATATACAAATCACTTTGAAAGGATTGGAGGGAGAAAAACATAATCTCAAGTCAAACTGCAAGGACGCTTTGAACACTATGGAACCTAATTTCCCTATTATTATTATTAATATTCATTTTTTTTTACCTATCTACATCTGATCCTCTCTCACTATAATTAATTGCTTATTGCTCCTTGATCATAACTAGATCACGGAGACCTAATAGTATCTGCGCAGTACCTAATTATCCATCAATCAGGCCTAATAATTAAGAAAACAAACAAATTAAGGCTTAATTAATTGGTCGGTGTTATATCCCTAACAAGTTGCTGAATGAGTGAAGGGATTGTAAAAGTGAGGCTTGGTTCCAACCACAAAAGGCCCAGATTTTCCCTTCGCTCCCTCGCCGCCACCAACTCCGGCGACCCTCTCGCACGGAGCGAGCTTCATCGTCCGCAACTCGTTCACCTCCTTCTGCAGTCGCCGGTTCTCGTCGGTCAGCGTCTCGCAGCACCTCTTCAGGAATTCACAGTCCACCTCTGTTTGCTTCAGCTTTGTCCTGAAATAATAATAGCCCCCACATCGCAAACGATAAGGGACGGAAAAGTGAATATATTTGTCTATCAACAAGCTGCGATATTCTGTACGCGAACCTGGCTCTCCTGTTTTGGAACCAAACTTCGACTTGTCTCGGCCTGAGGTTCAACTGCTTGGCCAACGCTTGCTTTTGTTTCTAACAGTTAACAACAAATTAGTAACCATCATAAAATAATCTTAGGAAAAAAAAATTAAAGATAGAAGATTTAATTGAACTTCAATTATAAAAAAAAAAAGATTTAAATAAAGCTTACTGGATTAAGAGTACTATGCTCCTTAAACCTGTCCTCCAAAAGAGCAGACTGTTCTTTAGTTAGCCTCAGCTTTTTCCTCGCGTTGCCATCTTCATCCTCATCGCTAGTCCTCGACGACACTCTCTCGACCTCAGCCTCGGCCTCTTCCTTCTCTCTCTTCACCGTCATCGTCAATGGATACGCGGTGGAGAATGAAGAGACGGGACTGTGAGGCGACGACAATCGAGCGGGCGTGGCGTCCATCGTCGGCGCGTAGGCATCGTCGGAGAGGCTCAACGTCAGAGATGGCTCCGTGGGCTCTTTGCGTCGGTGGTGACTTGTTGTAATAATTGGGCCGCAGCCCAGACTGAGCGCAAGGCCCGTGTCGTGATCTTCGCTCATGCCCATAGCTTGCTTTTTTGGCAAGAGAGCCCGAGGCTTGCCCCCGTTTATATAGAGGGAGGAGAGAGAAGGATGTGATGGCTATGATTATAGGAGGGGTGAGAGAGAGAGAGAGAGAGAGAGAGATGCCTATGATTGCTAGCAAAGGAAAGGAAGGAATGAGTTATGAGAGGAATTGGAATTTGGAATACCACTAGGTTGACAAAAATAAATAAGAACCCTA